ATAGAAAGTCTAAGTCCACAGAATAGAGACTTAATCCAGGCCATTTTTTTCACATGAGGTCCAGAGTTAAGACCTAGAAAAAGACCACAATGGCTTAGTACATTCTATCACTGCCACGGGAAAAAAAATAATGTAGACCTGATTGATGATTTTTCACTAAATGGCAACTTAACAACCTTCTAAAACAAGATAGTGTTAGGTATTTTAGCTTTCTGAGTCTATATCCTGTTCCCCACAACTAATATAAATATATTAAAGATTTTAAGAATTTCATACATTAGAAAGTAGTGTATCCAAACTAAATAGAAGAAAATGCTAAATTTTGTGTTTCAAATTTTAAGTGCTACTACGAGAAAAGTAGATATTAACAAAATCTAATATGGCCAAGCAAAGTACCATATCACTCTACCTTTTTAAAAAGACTACATGAAAGAAATGTCCTAGGGTCACTGAAGAGTTGAATCTATGAGATTAATGAAAACAGAGGTGGAAGGTTTAAAAAGTGACAAGGCAGGAGAATTATTAAGTGAATGAGTCCTGGTATACCATACATTTTTTTTTACATATCCCCTCTATATTCATCACAATCTTCAATATTAAAGATTACTTGTTAATAGATACTCTACTGACCAAAGCAATTGACAAAAAATATTGCACACATATTTGAACATGGAGACTTTTGTCTTCTGTGCTATGTCTACTGGGTGATACACCATCTCCCATACACTACAACAAAGAGAAAACAAAAACAGGATCACTGTATCAATTACTTCAGTAAAGCAAGTAATTAATTTACCTTCTATGCTTTGTGCTTTTTCATGCTTGAAAGTGGGTCAAGGCCACTTTGGAGATAAGTATGGGCTTACAGTGACCTTTAAACACCACTCATAAAAGGTGCTGTAAAGGAGCAGCAGCCTTGTTCTGATTTTGTAATCAAAAAGGTTACTGAGATGAACCTTAGACCTTAGATGTCACTTAATCTAAACTCCTAACTCGGAAAGTCAACTTGCTTAAACACTGTGGTGACAGAAAACTTCTTATGTCAAAAAGTAGCCAGATCCACTACATGGAGGGGTGGGGGGAGGAGCCTTACAGCCTGAAAACAATTAGAAGTCTGATGTTATCTCTTCATCAAATACTATTAAAAAGAGCATTAGTGTTTTTTCTCTTCTCCTGGCTTAAAGCCAGTTTGACCATTACTGTCTACATTTTGTTGGATGTGGTTTCCAGATTACTGACAAATCCGTCACTCTCATAATGTTCTGATTTGTCAAATTTATTTAACAATTTTGCTTTAAAACAGCCTAGTATCTCCCAATTTTTTTTTAAAAAAGCATCCATAAAGACGTTTTTAAAATTCAATCCAGAATATTCATCCCATTCAAATATGTATCTGTAGATAGAGATATCTTAACAAAAATAAGTAAATAAGTAAACAGGTTTTCATTTGTAGGGAATTATTAAGAGTATAACATATCACCAGCCAGTCTTCCTCTGGTCTTTTCTTACTTGAAACAAAAATATTTTTACATAAGTTTGGCTTTTGGTCAAACGATCAAATCTAATTCATTTACACAAACTGCTAAAGTATAAACACTGTACCACAAAATAATATATAGCCATTAAAATAGTAGACTGGTGGGGAATCATCTCCAAGATTTTTTTTTTCTTTCCCCTTTCTGAGACAACATCTTGCTGTGTTGCTGAGGCTGGCCATGATTGCCTGGGCTTAAGTGATCCTCTTGCTTCAACCTGCTTAGCTGGGAATACAGGCGGGCATCACTGTACTCAACAATCTCCAAGATTTAAAGTGAAAAAAATAAAATACATTAGAGAATATTTTAGAATATTACTGTTTCTGTTTAGAATACACACAAAATGTGTGTGTGTGTGTGTGCGTGTACAAGAAGAAAATGGCTGTGGAAGAATAGGTAAGAAACAAGCAAATGTTTATCTCACAGGAAGAAAACTGGGCATCTCTGGGGGACAACAATTGAAGAAACACAATTGTAATGTGTTTTGATACCCTATACATCTTACAAAATACTTCATAAAAAGAAAAAAAAAAAAGAAAAGAAAGACTGACTGTGGCTTTAGGCGCAGGAGGGGACGGACTGGAGTCTAGGTAAGAGTAGTCTTGACTTTTATGAGGAGTAAAAAGGGCCAGCAATCTATTTTTTTCCTAAGAAGGCCCTACTGCCTGAATTGCTGTTAGCAACATCTTGGTGGGAAGCCCCATTACACCTAAGAGCTCCTCATTCATCACACTTTAGGGATGTTTCTGCATGTATAACTTAATTTCATTAAATGCTAATTATTCTCAAAAATATATTTGGACATTGCTTTTTACAAAATGTACAGCTATATAGGTATTTTTCCTCTTAGGTCACTATCAAGTGAAAAGCATTATTCCTAGGTAAATTGACACTATCAAAAGTCACACTGTTGGCTTTCTTTTAATTTAACACAGTCACACCAACTGCCAAAATGGAAGAAATCTGACAATAATATGTGCTATCTTGCTAGTAAATAGGTATAGATTCTCAGTTGTATAGAGAATAAGGGGGACTAAAAGACATGTGAAGCTAAATTTAATTAGACATTTAATAAGTATAGTATCCCTAGTTAACAAGGCAAATCGATCCTTTCAGTTCTGGCTGCAGTTTATTTAAAGACTTTACAATTTTACTACTTAAGTGCAAGTCCTATGGAGGTGTTATCTCACCATTTATATTTTCACAACACTTATGATATTGCTATCACACTCTTAAAATAAATGAAAAGCCCATGCCACATTTCAGACCAATATAATGCTACAGACGCTATTTTTATTACTGGAAATAAACACTAAAATATTTCTGTATTGCTCACTTTAATATAAAAAGATAAAACTAAGATTTTTTAAGTCCTAAGTATACTTGAAAAGCAAATGTTTAATCACTTCACTTTAAAATTAGGCTCAAGGAAATAGAATTTTCTGACAATAGCATTTCATGACAAAATTATTATGCTTTTAATTTTCTATTAAATTGTGATTTATTAGCCTTCTTCTTTAAAGATTAGTTGGTATATAGAATGAATTTAGTGGTGCATTTAATGAGACAGGAAGGTGGAAGGATGAATATGAAGATTATTTTACATTGTAGTGAATGAGCTATTTGATAATTCTAACATAGTCCAAAAGAAAGCTTCTCTCTAGATTGATCATGGTTCAGTTAACATCACTGAATATCTAATACCTCCAACTCAATTAATTCTCACCTGATTAAGATCAGACTGATATTCAAACTAAATCATCTCTCCAGTCAAGTAGAAATCAATATTTCTGATTTTACTTTTAAATTACAATAGAAAATAAAATGCATTCATTTTCAATATGCCAAGAGTAGCTTTTCTATTCTAGTCTACCATGGCATGGATAACACAGTTGATTAAAGAATTATTCTAATTTGAGCACCAATATGTAGCAGAATCTGATTAATTTGAACACAGAGATAGAGTAAAGTAATTAAATATATCTTATATAGGGCAAACAGAAAATTGACATAAAATAAATTTGACTTCTTTAAAACAAACCTCACTATTTATCAGCTCAAGTAGTTAGGAACATAGTTTTATTAAAGACGGATTACTCTAGAGAAAACATTGTTGTCAGGCACAGATATTTAAAAGGTGAGCAAAGAAACAGCTCTTTTTACATCATGCTCTTTCTATCACCGCCCCTCTGAAAGCATGCATACATCTAAAAAAGAGCAATTATTTATGTATTGCTAGTCCAGAAAAACCAGAACATACTGACCCGTCCTTGTCAAGCATGGGAATTAGTGAATCTAAAAATAACAAAATGCCTGTATTTGTAACTGTTACTACTAAAGAGAACATGAAATGGACTTTGCTTCTTTTTCATTCTTTAATTCTCTTCAAATTAAAGATGAAAAAGCCAAATTATTTGCTGGAGTGACTGCATGCAATGTTTTTGCTTATTAAGAAACTCAAAAGTTTAGATGAAAATGATAGAAAATTGTCAACAATATATTTAAGGCAAATCCCAACTAAATGTACTATTTATTAGAATAGAAAATGATACAATTTGAACAGTACTTAGTGTGTACCAAAGTGCGTAAAATATATATATATATTATATAAAGTACTTTATATATAAAAATAAAATACATACTTACTATTTCTAAACATCACAAAGTTATTAACATATGCTACTAATAGGTGTTACTTAAATTGTATGTGTTTTTTCTGGTGTTTTAGATGTATATCCTTGTATAAAAAAGAATATGAAAAGTGAAGAATTACGCAAATTAATGTCAAAGCATTGATTTCCAAAATTCATATCCTATAAGAAATAGCCATAGAATTTACTCATAGACCAAAACTAAGGCCATAAAAATGAAATTCTGATAAGATATGATAATCTCCAAGACTTTATAGACTATGCGGCTGGGCTGCTGAAGCAACTTGGAAGTTGAGTTATTTGCATATTAAATATAAATAGTTATGCTTTACTTTCATAAAATACTCCCTCTTATTTTTTACCCATAGCAGAGATCTCAAGTTGGTTTTCTTATGAGTAAATCATAGTTACAAAGAAATATTTCTCAAATATATTAATTTATATACACACATACATAAGTAAGAATTCAAGCACAAAAAATATAGTGAACAAGTACAACATGTGCCTGTTTAAAGATGTGGTTGTAGAGCCAGGCTGTGCGCTGAGCTGCCTTCTGGGCTGGGAGCAGCGTCGGGGGGCAGTGGGGCACCCCTACTGCTGGCCGGGGGAAAAAAAAAAGAAAAGAAAAGGGGAGGAGAGGGGAGAGGAAAAGAGAAGAGAAGAGAA